CTCGTTGATGTGATTCGCAGGTATGTGCTATGCATCAGATTCTGGATGTGGTTGCCTGCGATCACATATATACGTATGGCTGTGAGGGATCCCAACGAGACTGTGAGAAGTGATCGTCACATACTTCCCCCTGTTATATATGTATATATATGGGTATACTTGGGGTAAATATTTGCATTGGCTGAAGGGCCCCGTATTAAAAGCCTGCTCAGGGGTTAAGACTAAGAGGCCTAGGGAAGGCCCTTCCCTTTATTTGTTTTACTTCTTAAGGATTTTTCTTAGCCGGACGTTGGTCCCGGGCCGGAATTCGAGGTCCTTGTCCAGGACATCCCAAGCCCTGGGCTCTACAGGGAAGGGGTTTTCCCTCGCGCAGAGCCTATTTGCCTTGCCTACCGAGACGCTCAGACCAAAGGCCGGAGGTCTCGTGGCAGCTACACGGCTATTCCTTCAGCCGTGCAATATCGTGAAGGATCAGACCCCCACGACACTTCGAGTCTGACACTTAAGTGTCATAAGCGATGCTCGGATTCACGAGGGACCGCTTGATTATGGGCACTATATAGTACGCCATCGTTGCGACTGCATGCGTACGCCTGCATCGCGGGTTGGTATGACATAGGCCCTCGGCTGCGCGACTTTATATTAAAATTTCGCGCGCGACGTTTTACCACCCTAGTGTGTAAAGAGTATGGGATTACAAAGGGACCGACACATATGGACGGATGTTTGAGATTGTTATAGGCCGCCAACGCCGCGCGAAGAAGGGAGGGTACCCCAGAGCTATGATTTTGTTTACTAGGCGGGGAACCTTCGGCCTATTCCTTATTTTTTTGCTCTTTGGAGTTTTTATAGTTGGACGTTATAGTCCGTGGCAACCGTCAAAGTCAAACCCCTTGATGTTCGGCCGCCACGACAGCTTAAAGCTGTCTACTCAACCCCTCTACACAGGGGCAAAAGAGGGTGTGGTCTTCAACCGCGCATGGCAGTTGTCCAGCGTCGAGAGATTAACCCTCAAGGCGCGTGTCAGCCGACACTTGAAAGTCGAACGCGACCCTCACGATTAACAAGGATCGCGTGAGTATGGGTACCATACAGTACGTCTTCATTGCGACTGCTTGCACACGTTTGCATTGCGAGTCGATATGCGATAGCCCTGCGTCCGCACAAATTTATATTAAAGTCTCGCGCGCGACGCCTATCCGATTTCCGTATCAGGAAGTTATGGGGCGGCTACCGAGGGGCTAGGAGCGTTGTCACGTTATTTATATTGTGTTGTCTCGTATGAGTCTGTGAGGGTTTTATTTTTGTGTTCGTAAAGTGGTGTGTGCGTGGTGTGTGGGATGCGTGCTAGTCGACCGACGACAAGTTGCGCTTGGGACCTTAGCCCCCCAAAATGTCGGTTCGCGTGCGGGTTCGATAGAAGCGTATTACCACGCTTACCCCCTATGCTACAGCGAACAAGAAACGCCCTCGGCTGGTCCACCTCTGCGATTGCAACTGATTAGCTTTCGTACTGTGGACTGGTAGCTCGGTGGGGATACGCCCACCGAAGGGAGGTGACAGCTCCCGTAAGGTGGAGGTAAGTTGTGCCTCGCGTAGGCCTTATCCTGTCGTAGGGGCTCGCGAGAGGTATGGCTGGCGCACTCGGACGGAGCGGCTTAAGGAAGCTCCATGTGCATTGCGACGAAGGATTTAAAACCAATTCCTGCGTGACGCGGCTGGGAGGGTCCCGCGCTGCCCTGGTGCGGTGCCGGACCGATGCGCTCGACACCGTGCAGTATAGTCGCCAGGTGCTTGAGCACGGAGTTGGAGGAGGGGGAAAAACATCACACCACCCCCTGGAGAAAGGGACGGAAAAGGATACGGTAGTGGAGGAGGAGGAGGATGAAGACTCTTATGGAAATAAGGATAAGGAGATGGAGATCTCCAAAAGTGAGAGGGAGACGGATGAGGACGAAGAGGAGGAAGATGAATCAGAACAAGAGGATGGGACGAGGAAGGAAAGGGTGGACGAAGACGACGAAGAAGAGAGGAAAGACACTGATTGAGAGGAACGCGATGACGACGATGAGGACGAGGAGGAGGAAGAGGAGGAAGAGGAAAAGGAGGAGGATAACGAAAGCGATCAAGGAAAGGAGACCTCGGAGGGGGATAATGGAACAGAAGATGGAAAAGGGAATGGCGAGGATGGAGATAAAGAGGGAAAGGACGAAGAGGAGGATGAGGAGAAAGAGAAAGAGAAAGAGAAAGAGGAAGAAGAGAAAGTGGGGGAAGATAGAGAAAGTAGTCAAGGAGACAGGTCACCGGAGAGGGTAGAAGAAACAAAGGATGGGGAAGGGGAAGCCGAGGATCAAGATGGGGAGACATAATTTCTCCCCAAAGATAGTCCGGCGGCCAAGAAGGAAAGGGCACGTGAGGAAGACAAGCAATCCCCTGCAGAACCGGGAGCAGAGGAAGGGCTATTAGAGGAGAAGGGGACCAATGAAGAAGTATCACACAGGGATAGGGAGTACGAGGCCCTGAAAAGTGAGGAGCAGTTGGACGAAGACATCTTAGGTGTGCTTGGAACCACCTTGAATGACCCTCACGAGCAGAAGGTAACTAGTCATGAGGAAATCAGGATTGACAGCGAAAACTGGACACTGGACGAATTTACGAAATAACAGCCATTTCGTAAAAACGGACATATTATATTTTTTGAGCGAAATAAAAACCGACTTTTTTTGCCAAAATCTGGTCGGAATTTTTTGCTCCTGGGGGTCCGGCATTCCCAGAACGCCGGACCCCCTGCATGAACCTGGTCTATGGTTGAGACCAGATAAAAAATAATAATAATAATAATAATAAAATTATTTGGTCTCAACCATAGACCAGGTTCATGTAGAGGGTCCGGCGTTCTAGGAGCAAAAAATTCTGATCGGATTTTGGCAAAAAAAGTCAGTGTTGATTTCGTTCAAAAAATATAATATGTCCGTTTTGACGAAATGGCTGTTAAATACTGCAATCCGATGTTTTCATTTCAGGAAAATATCTCTCTGGGAAAGGTCACCCAGATACCACGGTCAACAGGGAACGGTAGAATGATCCGAGGATGGAGGATGCCGTCCTGGGTCCCCCCCAGGCGGCCTCTGCGTCCAAAGAGATGTTGATGCTTGAGATCGGCAGACCCGTCCCACTTCGAAAGCTGAGCAGCACTCAGCTGCGAAGCCCGGAAGCTGGAGGATCCCCAGCTAAAAATGTCAAAAGGAATGATGCGTCCGGGGTCGAGACGACAAGAGAGGAAACGAAAGATATATCACCCGGATCGTCACAGGGAGAATCCTCCCTCAGCCGTAAACGCAGCTACATCCATCAATCCTCTCGAAAGGTGCTTTCGTACGCTAAACCTATGGAAACACTATCACGAGCTGACAAGACAAAAGAGGTAGTAAAGCAATTCTTACTTCCTCTCCGGCTGAAGAGGAGGTGGGGGAGCTGATAAAGAGGCATGTTCTGCATCACATAGCTTTTGTGGCCCCTCTCCCCTACCTAAAAATAAATCGATATCTTTCGTTGAAGGAGAAAGGGGCCCCTATGGCATTTCACATCGCACTAGTAAGAATTAAAAATATCATGGATTCTTTTGAACGGTGGTGCGACTTGCGAGTGCACTGGATACTCCTCCAGGCTCCAGGAATTCCTGGGGAACCAATCTGAAGCGGTAGTTGCACTTCAGCTACCAGCGGGGAGAAATGGAACAGTCATTACAGAATGGATTAAGCACCTGGGGATCCAGGAGCGCCTGTCCAAGGAAAATATGTGCAACCTGCTTGTGACTATCTGAAATAGTGGGAGTTGATGGCTATAACCTATTCAGGCAGCCACAATTCCAGTTTCTGATACATGCCATATCCAATTAAACGGCAGCAGGAGGACAAATGGTTCGTCCTCCTAAAATACGTGTTTCTTCGTGGAATGTGCGTGGTATAGGTGAAACCAACCGTAAATTTAAAACATCTAGGATCAAATCATGGGTCCAGTCTAATAATATCCAGATTTTGGGTTTACAGGAAACTAAGTTGAACAGCGATAAGATCAAAGAAGCAGCAGCCTTCTAGGACGGGCCACAAGTATGGTCCCGTGCGGTAGGTACCTTTGGTGGCGTGGCGATCTTAATAGATAAAAACTTAAATATTACTACCCTGGACTCCTACTCAGATTCGGAGGGCGGTATCGCGTGGATCAAGTTCCAACTAGGCCACGAGGAATTGGTTGTTATGTCGATATATGCACCTATGGAACTAAAAGTACGTATCGAATTCCTGGCAAACCTCCCAAAGTATGTTCCTGATACCGAGAACCTGTTAGTCCTGGGTGACTTGAACACCATCATGATCCCAGGCTTGGACTCCCTCTCTAGACACTCTCCGAGGGAGGATGCGGAATCGCTTACCAACTTTATGGATGCCAAGTCCCTAACTGACGTGTTCAGAATGCTAAATCCAGATACGAACGGGCTTACATGGTATGGCCCATGCCCAACTAAAAGGTCCCAACCTCTCTGCAGCCAGTTGGACTACACTTTGGCAAGAGGGTTGGTATGAGACCGATGCTGCTGGTCGGAGGTGGTAGTGGAGTCACTCTCAGACCACTATCCTGTGTTGATGGACACAGTGGCGGAAGACATCGTGGAAAAAGAAAACCCCCCCTTCCGGCTTATACGAATATATTGAAAGACGAAGGCATTAAAAATTGGGTCTCTGACCAAATGAAATGTTGGAAAAACTCGAAGGATCTCTTCGACGATCAACTAGAACGGGCGGACGTGGGAATCAATATCATTAGAGCCACACTAATCAACTTTTCCAGGATGAAGGCATCATCTCGATCGTGGACGGAGAAAAAACTCAGAATGGATATAGAACAAGCAGAGAGAGAAATGGGTGGCGACCCGTTCTCATATTTTTTCTGGTATGAAAAAAGAAAAACACTTTTGACGGAACTAGAAAAATTGGAAGTTTGCAGACAGACTAAGTGGCTTGATTGCTTAAGACTTAGAGGGATAATAGACTATGATAGGATGACCAATCTTTCTTTCCGCTCCTTAATACTCAGACAATCTAAATCCCTAATCAAAGAACTAACACACCCATTTGCCATCAACTCGCCGTTAGCCACTGACACAGAATCAATGTGTGTTTTCGCTTTCGAATATTTCAGTGATATTGTGTCTAGAAGACGTCCTTTCGACTCTTTTGACTCAGACCTGTCACACAGCGGTGCGTTTTGGGACCGATTCAGAGTGTGTATTCCCTCAAGGGCAGCCCAAGCACTAGAAGAATCCTTCGCAGTGGATGAACTCGGGAGAGCAGCGAAACAAATGGTCAGTGGAAAAATCCCGGGCTTGGATGGGCTCCCTGTTGAGCTATTCGTGGAATGTTGGGAGGACTTCGGTCCATTCCTATGTGATATTTACAAAAATGTGAGGACATATGGTGCGCTACCGGCCGGCTTCCTAAAAGGATACATCTCGCTAATATATAAAAAAGAAAGCAAATCTGAGGTCAGAAATTACCGACCTATCTCAGTGTTAAACATGACCTATAAGATATTGGCCAAAGCACAAGCCATCAGGCTAGCCCAATATCTCCCCAACATCATTGGCCCGGAGCAAGGGGCGTTCGTCAAAGGCCGATCCATTTTTTATAACATAATGACCACACTGCAGGCCATCGAAGTCATTGCAGCTGAAAAAAGAGAAATCGCCGTTTTTCTACTCGATATGGAGAAGGCGTCGACAAGGTAGGTTGGTCCTTTGTCATGACCATGCTGAAAAGGATGGGTTTTTACCCCTTCTTCATGCAATGCGTGAAGGCAATGTACACTGAAGCAGTTTCAGTGGTTCTGGTCAATGGGAAACTGTCGGAGGAATTTAAGTTGACCCGCTCGCTATGCCAGGGTTGTCCCCTGGCCCCCCTTCTCTTCGTCCTCCAACTGGAGGTACTATTTGATAATATTAGACATAACCCAACGATTAGAGGATTGGGGGAGCCATCGCAGACGACCTCACAGTAGCATGTGAGAACACCCAAGCCTCCTTTACCGAACTCAGATTAGTTTAAGATGAATATTGCTACCTATCAGAGGCATCTATTAACTGGGATAAATCGGTATATCTTATACCACCCCCATATTCTATTTGTGTAAATTGGGGCCTTAGAGGCGTCCCCGCCAAAAGCTCCGAAAGACTGTTGGGTGTCCAGGTGTCCACCTCAAATTGCTCACAAGCTCGAGACAAGATCCTGCAGGATAAAGTTTGCTCAATAATCTTTGGCTGGGTGAGGAGCCACAAGCTATCATTATTTGGCCGAGCCCTAGTGCTGACATCAACAACGTTTTCAATTTTGTGGTTTCCACTATCTGTGCACTATTTGGGAGATAAGGCCTACTCAACAGTCAAAAGGGCGGCTTCGCGTTATCTATGGAAGCCTACGGCAGTGGAGGAACAGGGCTTCATTCCCAAGGTAGCTTGGGAACTGATCACTCTGCCCAGGGACCAAGGCGGCCTGGGCCTGTTGGATCAGAGGGACCAGAACATCGCTCTCCTGGCCAAATGGTTGATCGCAGCCAGCCTGGGGACGGAGCGGAAACAATGGATGTACTTAGCAGAGTATATACTCAAAAGAGATTGGTCTCTGGTGGACGAGGCCAATGTCTGGTCCTGCATACTACAGTCCAACTTCTCAAGAAGAAAAGTGAACTCCAGTGTCTGGTCCGGGGTGCTGACAGCCTGTAATAAAATCAAACCTGGCCTGATCAAAGATCCAGAGACAAAATTAGAAGTTATGAATCTGTGCCTTTTCGACAATCCTCTGATAAACCGGCCTTATGGGCTTCCGTTTGCGACAAACGGGAAAAGGGGCAACTTTGCCCGTCAATGGACGGAAAAAGGAGTCTTCGTGGTGAAACATATATGGGACACGCAGGAGCAAGGGTGGCTCCTAACCGAGAAACTCCGAAGGAAACTACCAAGACTACACAAGTTGGAGGAGCACTACGCAGAGCTGATAGCGGCCCTTCCCATACATTGGACTGATCTCCTTAAGGGGAGTACGGAGCACACTATGGGAATCCGGCTGGCCCATTCTCAGGACCCAAGCAAAGTACTGAGAGTACTCGGGCCAGATCTGCCACACGGTATGAAGCTGGAACAGTGGAAGTTGGGCAACCGACTAAAGGATGGAACGGAGCTGCTCAGGGACAAGGAAATATCGCTACCATCTACATCGGAGATGGTGGAAGTCCGTGTTCTGGATAACTCACACTCGAAGCCCAAACGCAGAGCACTCCTAAAAGGTCTGGCCTCATAATTTCGAGTGAAGCCCACCCTCTTCAGGTGGAAACTCCCACAGGGTAAAACGGTTCCATTAATACAGTACACGTCCAAGATTGGAGCGGCTCAGCGTCGGCTTAAAAAACCCAGCCCTCAAGCGGTGGCCTTGCACAGATACCAGAAAGGAC